AATGATCAGAAACAAAAAAGGAGCCATCATCAACATTGGTTCTTTTTCTTGTGTCGTAATTCCTTCATTTCCATTATATACTCTCTATGCTGCAACCAAAGCGTATGTTTCTTCATCTTCAAAATCTAAAAATATTTCCTTTTTATGGCTTTAACAAGATCTTCTGTTTCACTTAATAATTCTTACACATACTAGTCATTGTTAAATTTTTTATATTAAGCACCTTTGAGGATTGTTCATTTTATTAAAATAGTGTACACATTTTAAGTCTAGGAGAGATTAGGTCCATAATCTTCAGTCTCTCTCTTCTTTATAGTCTTCTTTTTGCTGTTTTTTTTTCTTTTCTTTTTGTTGGTTTTTTGTTTGCTTTATTTTTTTCTCCTTTTTTTGTGTGTGTTCCTAGATCAAATGATTCTAATACCATGTTAAATTCTTTATATTAAGTATATATGATTGAAGATAAATTATTTCATGACCAAAATAGTTAAATCCATTTAATTAGACACACCGCAAATCATATATATTTTGAATCTATTTTTAAATTACTACACGTGGTATTTCTTTCTCTTTTTTGGCAAAAAAAAAAAAACGTGTGATTTCTTTATTTCCACAGATACGTTGGGATGCTCTCAAAATGCATTGGTTTAGAATACAAAGCACAAGGAATTGACGTGCAGTGTCAGCTTCTTCGATCTCTTGCTCTTAATCTTCTTATTGATAATTAGTTATGATGATATATATAATGACATGTTTGGTTTCAAAAGTTAAATATATATATATATATATATATATATCCAAACTTTCAAAACAATGAAAGTAAAAGCAAGCATGTGTTTGATTTTCAAAATGTAAAATCATGTACATTAAAGTAGTGGTTGAAATTAGAGTCGATAATTTGAATCAAATTCAAATAAATCCTTAAGCATTATTTAAGCCAGGCTTAGAAAAATATCAATTATTAAACATTCAAGTTGGTTTGAATATGCTCAAGAAAATTTAAGCCATGCACAATTAGGTTAATTTTTATTTTTTTCTACATCATATATTGAATATTTATTGGTCTTTTAAGACTTAAGGCATTTTATACAAAGAGATTATAGTTCTATGAGTACATTTTTTTATAATATTTTTTAAAAAAATTAAAAAGTCCATATTATTGTATTTCTATCATTTTTAATTTATAAAATACTTTAGAATGTATTTTGAACTTGGTTTTTTAACTTTAAGATAACAAAAAAATTTTAAAAAAAATTGAGTCTCCAGTAGTTTTTGTGTCCCGAAAAGTATACTGTATATTTTTTTATAATAATAACAATAATTAATTTTAAAATAAAATAAAAGTTGACTTAAAACAGTAAACAATAAAAAAGTCATCAATTATTCAAGCATTCTGGCCAGTTAAAATATGCTCAAAACTTGAAAAGATTAGAACTGAGCTTAACTATTTAGATTTTTTTAGAAATTCAGGTTTATTGGAGTTGGGCAGAGTAAGTCTGCATTGCTGTAATTACCCACTCTAATGCCCTGATAACTGTGAACACTTTCATCCACTTGATTTGTGAGCTCATTCTATTCCTCAGCTTCATTCTTTGCTGGCCCACTCTTTATTCTTGGGCTATGCTCCAATTTTTTTTTTTTTTTTTTGCCAAAAATGCTCCAATTCATTTTATACACATTGACTTTGTTAGCTGCGCCTTTGTCTGGAAACTAGAGGCAGAGGTTTTAGGGTTTTTATTTTTATTTTTTATTTTTTGGAGTTTGGTAGTTATATTTGATTACCCAAAATGACCATACAATAGGAAGCTCGTACCATTTTCATGTTAGGTAACTACGAATGTGACTTGCCCAACGCAACATGGAAAAACATTTCCCTGCCCACCAGTTCACCTATATATACCAAACATTGTCCGAACAGTTATGGCATTCTTTTTCCTTTTCTAAATTAATATCATCAAAAGCCAAGTGGGTGTCACATATATAATAATAGTTTGAAATCCTTCAACATCATTTTCGAGTTTAATTTCTGGAATTCACTATTATAAAAATGAAAAATTCTTTATTAAATGCCATTTTTTTCAACTAAATTGTATTTTAATTTTGACCTTTATTAAATTCATAGTTAAAAAAGTGCTCACTAAATTTAGCGAGGGATTGTATTTTCCTTACTAGTTAGCAATAGTTTTGGTCCCTCACTAATTTCACTAATACTATTTAAAATTCAATAATTTTGGTTATGCCTATATTTAAAATTCAAGAATGATCTAGACATTAGAATTTTAAATGATCATTCTTCTGGATATAGACATCTACTGTTTAATGACCTTATTTAATTTTTTTAATCTACACGGCTTTGTTGTAACCTTGCAATTAAAAAAAAAACACTAACATTTTCAAGCATTATTATAAAAAATAGTTAAAAATATATAATTATTGGTCCCTATAATTTCATTGGATATTTCTTTTAGTTTTTATAATTTATTTTTAATGTTTTTAGTACTTGTAATTTAATATTATTAGGAATTTGAGGAGCAAAAGTCACATAATCTTGTTGAAATTATGGAAAATAAAAATACATAGAAAAACTATAGAAACTAAAAGTAATACCTGATGAAACTATATGGGTCATTGATTATATTTTTTTTAAGAAATATTTGGTGCATGTAAAAATTATTAGCTTATTTTATTTTTTATCCAAAAAGAATTATGTAGGATTGTCAGGAGGTGGGTTCTCTCCTCTTATTCTCACCACTTTCTATTCTTTTTCCTTTTCTAACCTTTAGATTAAGATTGGGATGGTTTCAAACTTATTCTCTTATAAAATGATTATTCCAATATTAAATTATTAAAAAATAAATAATCAAATTGAATTTGAATTTGAATATTTTAAAATTATACTACAATATATATTTTATAAAAAAATCAAATCCAAAATCATCTAAAATGTTAATCTTAACTATTAAAAAAGGAAGAGGAACAGAGGATGAGAAGGGTAAAAGAGAGAATCTTCATCCACTTGTCAATACGGCAAATTTGATTGGCCGTATTGACGGATAAAGTTGACAAAATTTTGGTGGGCAAATGACAATTTGGTAATTCCAGTGGATTCCGAATGCACAGGTTATGTACCATAGTTTGCTTCCCAAGTATATCAAAATCCAACCAAATTTGACTTCTCGAACCTATCCTCAGACGACCAAAAAAAGAAAAAAAAAAAACCTAATTCTCATCAAATCCAATTAGGAAAAAAAAAAATCTAATGGAAAAATTATCTGTGCAGTACTATATTTTTAAAAGGCGAAAGTTAAAAAGGATAAATTAATTTACTGAGAGAAAAAAAATCTTACACCAAAAAAATATAAAATAAATTTTTAAAGATTTAGGATTGTAGCTGATTCATATTAATATATAAGTAATTTATTATTCAAAATTTAAAAATTTATAATAATTGTACCATTGATATACAATGGTAAATCATTGGCAAATATAATAATAATCCAAGCATGATGCAAAATATAATAAATGTCAAACTGTTTACTTGTTTTGATCTTATAATATGGGTTATATTTTCAAAAGCTCTTATTATTCTTAAAATTATTATTAAGTTCATAAAAATTATTATTAAATTTTAAAAAAATAAAAAAATTGCTTAAAAATATTTTTTTAAATTTTTTTTAAAAAAGCTGATGATAACTTATTATAATTTTCTCAACGTAACAACAATTAGTAGTTGGAGGTGCTTGTCTTAATGTGGGTTGATATAATAAACGAACAAGTTTTAAAACTATTCATGTTGGTAGTTGAGGGTTACTTGCAAGAAATCAGTTCTTGACTACAATTCTTATTCATAATTTCACAATAACAAGTTATATTCTTTACTATCTTTTGGACAACAACAATTTTGTCCTTTAAAAAAAAAACCTTTGCTATAGTTATTATCTTTTTAAAAATCAAAAGTATATAAATTAATGGGCAATTAGTTCAACGGATAAAAAAAGTTAAATCATCTTATTCTAAAATATTAAGTTTGAGTTCTTCAAGATACTCATATATCATAGCAGATTTTTCTGCTACAATAGATGAAAAATAACTTGAGAAAATGTGATTTAAAAAATTGAAGCATTAATAATATTAGGAAAAATCATACCAAAAAATAACAAAGTATAACCAACGGATGCGTGACAACTGACAAGTAAAGGAGAGAATTATTTAAAAAAATAAAAAGGGGGTAAAATAAACGATCAAAAATAAGAAAATCCATCTTTTGCTCCAAAAAAAACCCAAAAAAGGAAGGGGGGTGGGGAAAGAAAAGCTAAAATTTTTTTGGCATGAATGGAAGGTCAAATTGAAAGCCACCTATTTGCCACTTTTTGTGAGTACAATACAAGGGGTAGATAAGCTGTTTTGCTATTCTATATATACTTTTACCGACTTTTGCCAATAAAAATATTTAAAGAAAGGAAAAATATAAGTTATTATTGTTTGATCAGGTTTTATTTTTAGTCAATATATTTTTTATATTTTTAATTTTTATAATTTTAAAAAAATTGAGTGATCTTTGTTTGTTTTTCAAGTCTTTATTATTAAAGTTAATGTATTTTTTTAATATTTTTAATTTTTATAATTTTTAAAAAGATTGGTAGACTTTTATTTTTTAAATTTCTATTATTTTTATTTTTTATATTTTTACTCCTTATAAAAATTAAAAATATTAAAAAAATATAGAAATTAAAACCAAAATTTAAAAAAGTTATAAGGACTAATGATTATATTTTCTTTTAAATCAATTTCACCAAAAAAATATTTAATTAAATATGGAACTCTTAGATAGGATATTCGTACACTAGTACTTTTTTAAGAAAAATAAACTCAAAAAAATAAAATAAAAGAAAACTTGTTCACACGCATTTTATTTAATGTTGGTTTCGTTTTAAAGCAATCAAATTGATTTTGATTTTGCGGATACGTTGTTACCTGCCCCACGATCCAACAAATCAACCGTCTGCGCTGCGGTTCCTACTTCAATCTGGTGGTTTTTCGCTCATCTTCTTTGTCCCTTTGTTTGCGTTGTCTCACCGTTTCATTTTAGTTTATACTTATAAATTCAATGCCCTTTCTCTCTCCATTTCCCAATCCCTACCTTGCTTTGCCGTTCTTGGTTACTCCGCCTCCCCACTCTTTCAAGCTTCTTCGTTTTAGCAATCCTCTTAAATACCCATTCACTAATCTCTCACCAAACATCTCGCTTTCATTGTTAGATACTTAGATCCGTTTGTTTGTTTCACTCTGACTATGCAGTGCTGTATCATAGCAAGGCTGAAAACCCAACCTTTATGGTTCGGTGTTCTTTTCGTCTTGGGTTTGCTCACCTTCTTGAAAGTTTTCCTAGCTTTTCTCAGGTGGGTCTATGTCATTTTTCTCAGACCCCCCAAAAATCTTAAGAAATACGGATCTTGGGCGCTTGTTACTGGACCCACTGATGGTATTGGCAAGGGTTATGCTTTTCAGCTGGCTCGTGCCGGGCTTAATCTGGTTTTGGTGGGTCGGAATCCGGACAAGCTGAAGGATGTTTCCGATTCGATTCTAGCTAAGTACGGGAAAACCCAGATTAAGACGGTGGTCGTTGATTTTGCTGGTGATCTGTCCGAGGGTATGCTCAAGATTCGTGAAGCTATTGAAGGGTTGGATGTTGGTGTCTTGATTAATAACGTGGGAGTCTCATATCCTTACGCGAGATACTTCCATGAAGTGGATGAGGAGCTTCTGAAGAATTTGATTAAAGTGAATGTGGAAGGAACTACCAAGGTTACACACACTGTTCTTCCTGGCATGCTCCAGAGAAAGAAAGGAGCAATCGTGAATATTGGTTCTGGAGCAGCAATTGTGATTCCTTCAGATCCTCTTTATGCTGTGTATGCTGCCACAAAAGCGTAAGTAGCTGCTTATAGCTTTCCTTCTCACTTCCAATCTCCAAGTTCTGACTGCATTTAAGCTGTTGGGTATCTTGTAGGATACGTTGTTTGATATGTTGAAATGAAGTTGTGTGTTTGTTTCCTCAGGTACATAGATCAATTCTCGAGATGTCTCTATGTTGAATACAAGAATAGTGGGATCGATGTCCAGTGTCAGGTATTTTTTTAAGACTCTTTATGTAGTGTTTTGAATTTTTGTGTTTCAATTATCTATTTTAGGAGAGAAATTCAGGGGAGATTTGTTAATATTAGCCGTGCCGAACAGCTCTAGCTCCACTTGAAAATGTTTCTGCTTATGTCTTTGACTCTTGATTTTTTTTTTTTAATCTGTTTATTAAAGTATATAGTCACCAATCTCTTTTCACTTGAGGTGATGATCCTAATTTACCCAACTTGCTTCTGATTAAAAAAAAAAATTACCCAACTTGCTACTTGGTGATATTACAGAGTTGGTATTCCTTTGATTAATACTTTTCACTGTGTAGAACTTGATCATTATTCTCGAGTTTGTGTGTATTTTGAGAATTGATACTTTTCACTTTAAGTGGATGTCAGAACTTTTTAAAAATATTGGGATCAATTGACTCTATCTTATCTTTCGGTTATTGTGAGGAACTTCTTAATTTAAAATGGCCTTACACTTGTGTAATCATGTGTAGTGAATGAGCCCTTTTCTGTTAGATCAAGATTTAAATGCATCCAACAATAATATTAGTTTTTGAAACAAATATCTAGTATACGCATTAGATTTGAGCAATGATACTGTTGTTTAATGGGAAACATGAATTGTGTGATATGATGAGTGCTATTTGTATCTTGCGTCATTCAATAGCCTACATATCAGAAAAGAGCTAGGAAACTGATCGTCAGAGGCGAAATTTCTATGATATCATTGTGAATTGTGTGTTAATTGTGGAATCAGGTCCCATTGTATGTGGCAACAAAGATGGCATCAATAAAGAGATCTTCATTTTTCGTGCCATCAACCGATGGTTATGCAAAAGCTGGCATGCGATGGATAGGGTATGAGCCTCGGTGCACACCTTACTGGCCCCATTCCATTCTGTGGGCATTGGCTCACGGGTTGCCCGAGTCTCTGGTCGATTCTTGGCGTCTCTGGTTCTGCATTCGCATTCGCGATAGGGGGCAAAAGAAGGACTCGAGGAAGAATGAATAATAAGCTATAAGAGGAACAATCTTTTCAGATTTCAAAGTGTCTGATGTATCACTGACTTAATCTTTGTTGTTATTAATCTGTTCTTGGATCAATAGCTTGGTCTATTCATATTTCTTTTTTGCTCTGCTATCTTGAGTATCTATCTTTTTGTTGTTGTAATGTTGAGGACTTAATGTAATTCTCATTTGTTATAGAAAAATACTGTGGTTTCAAACCTGGATGCCCAGAAAAGAGAACAGACAAAGAAAGAAAAATACAGACTACTAAAAAAGACTTGGATAACAACAAAAAAACTAAAATAAATCATATACGATTGTGAAAGAAAACTTAAAATTTGGAATTTATCTCATTTCGATTTAAACATTGCATTACATCTTTAGGGAAAATTAAATAACGTTATGTTCACTCAAATTGATTTGTCCATTTCGTAAGAACCTTTTTATGGTTCAAATTGAATTTGTGGATTTGTTCTTACCTGCCATTCAATTCAATTGCTCTAATCATCTACTTTTTATCTCATGTCCTCACTGACTCGTTGTCATGGACTCGTGCTAGTGTTACTTCTCTATTACTAACCCCTCCTCACCAAACTCACTCAATTGCTCTCTCACTCTGACAATGAAATGCTGTATAATAGCGAGCCTGGAAACTCAACCTCTATGGTCTGGTTTGCTTTTCGCTTTGGGTTTACTCTGCCTTGTGAGAATTTTCTTAGCTTTTCTCAGATGGGTCTATGTCAATTTTCTCAGACCTCCCAAAAATCTCAAGAATTATGGATCCTGGGCACTCGTTACTGCACCTACTGATGGTATTGGCAAGAGTTTTGCTTCTCAGTTGGCTCGTGCAGGGCTTAATCTGGTTCTAGTAGGTCGGAATCTGGACAAGTTGAAGGATGTTTCCAATTTGATTCGAGCTGCGGTCGGGAAAACTCAGATTAAGACTGTGGTTGTTGATTTTACGGGTGATCTTTCAGAGGGTATGGTCAAGATTCATGAAGCTATTGAAGGGTTGGAGATCGGAGTCTTGATTAATAATGTTGGACTATCTTATCCTTACGCTAGATTCTTCCATGAAGTGGATGAGAAGCTGCTCAAGAACTTGATTAGAGTGAATGTAGAAGGAACTACCATGGTCACACAAACTGTTCTTCCTGGTATGCTCAAGAGAAAGAGAGGAGCAATTGTTAATATTGGTTCTGGATCATCAGCCGTGATTCCTTCAGATCCTCTTTATGCTGTGTATGCTGCCACAAAAGCGTAAGTGACTGCTTGTCTATATTTAGTTTGCTTCTTAATTCCAAATTCCAAAGTGCTAGCTTCATATAAACTGTTTGAGAATCTTGTAGGATGTGCTGTTTTATCTGCTAAAAAATATAAGTTCTCTGTTTGTTTCCTCAGGTACATAGATCAATTCTCAAGATGTCTCTATGTTGAATATAAGAAAAGTGGGATTGACGTCCAGTGTCAGGTATTAATATTTACACTGTAGCTCATATTACAGGCCGTATTACGGGCATTTTTCTTTGACCCTCAGCATCAACCAAATAGTAATTGTTCTGTATATGTGAATCATAAATTACCAATTAGAAGAGGGAAATTCAGGTTAGATTTGTCTGGGTTAACTCAAAGAACAGCTCTAGCTCTAGTTCCACCTGATCACATCCCTATTCTGCTGCCATATGTGTCTGCTTGTGTCTTAGTTATTTAACATGTTTGTTTATGGGTATATGGTATAATGTCACCAATTTTTCTGTTCATTCAAAATTCTACTGCTCAAAACCAAACATAATATCTCTGCCGATATAAGATGATCCTAATAATATACACAACTTGCCTCTCATTTGGTGGAACAGGGTTGATATCGTGGCATGCATCTAGTGCTTATCTGCTATTCCTTTCATTGATGCTGTTCTTTGTGTATTACGTTTCCCCGGTTTGTGTGTGTGTGCTTTGATATTTGATACTTTTCACTTTAAGTGGACATTAGCACTTTCGAAAAGCAAACTGTGTATAACTTACTCTATCTCTTCTTTCAATTATTATAAAGAATCGCTTCATTCATCTTCACTTCTGAGTGTTGTTCCTCTGAAACTAGCCTGCATACCAGAAAACACCTGGGAAACAGATGGATTGGAGATGCTTTTATAGGTGACCATATATGTATTAGAGAAAAGAAGTCCAACATCTAATAGTTAGAAAGTAGATTAGAAATATATAAACTTTGGGATGTGTCTAGTTAATTGGCTCAAGCTATTTTGATGAAATAGATAATCCTTAAGTATACTTAATATTAAAAACAAAAAATTGATGATGTGGGCAACTTTTGATGTTACCATGAATTGTGGAATCAGGTTCCATTACAAGTGGCAACAAAGATGGCATCCATAAAGAGATCTTCATTTTTTGTGCCATCAAGTGAGGGATACGCGAAAGCTGCCGTGCGTTGGATAGGATATGAGCCTCGTTGCTCGCCTCACTGGACGCATTCCATCCTGTGGGCGTTGGCAATGTCGTTGCCTGAGTCTCTCGTTGATTCTTTGCGCCTCTGGTCCTGTATTCGGATTCGACAGAGAGGGCAGCTCAAGGAAGCAAGGAAGAAGGAATAAGCCATAAGGGAAACTATCTTTCAAAGTTTCAAGCTAGTCTGTATTTGTAGGCTGTAGCAATAGTTTGGTCTATTCTTTTTGCCGTACCATGTTCTGAGTATTTTTTGTCGTTGTAATGTTGAGGATCATTTGTTAACAATTCAAGGCAAATATATCACCTAGCATTGCTTTTCTTAGGCCAGTGAAACTTGATTCTTGTTTCTCTTCTTATCAGTTTTTTGTTTTTGGTTCTTTATGTTTATGAATACAGCTGGTTCTGGACTAGGGGATTTAAAACTAGGTTAAATAATAATTTGACTTCAAAAATACCTGCCATCTAAAATCTTAAACTTATTTTTAATACAATATTTTTCCTCAACTTTTAAAAACAATGTAATATTATTCCTATCATTAATAAAAGTTAATTTTAATAGTTAGTTAACTAAAAAAATGACCTCAAAAATTATATAAAAGGACAAAAGAATTTATTGGTCCCTTCTTGTAATTTTTGGTTTTTTTCCTATGATTTTCTTGGTCCTTTTTTATTATTTTCCAATCAATTAATGATCAAAATTTACTATTGCTAACAATAAGGGCAACATTTCACTGTTTTCAATAATGGATGGGAAATCTTATATAAAAAATAAATTTAGAGTTCTAGACACTCTTGGACTTATAGTTTAGAAAACAAATTGCCCTTTTAACCATTTAAAATTTAAAGAGGAACATTTAGATGAATTGAAGAAAAATGGTGAGATTAAGATGAACAATAAAGAACAAATCTTGAGGCATAAGATATTAAGCTTTGGCCTTGAGGAGAAATGTTGTTATTCCTAATTAAGTTTGGATTCTCTAACTTCATACATGTGACTGTATGCGAGAGTGTAATTGTAAAATTTGGATCACACACACAGTCTCATTTTCTCATGTCACTGTTCTTTCAGCTGTATGACTTTTAAAAAGATTTATTTGCATTGTTTGTCTATTCAACCGTATAACTACATTGTTTGAGAATATATATTTTCAATTTCAATATTTTTTTGGAGCAGGTTATGAGGTCCGTTGTAGCCTTTTTTTTTTTTTTTAGACCACCCATTATTACAGACTTGTCTCACTATAATTAGAGTATTTTCAAGAGTTAAACTCAACTTTTAATTAAATAAGCACTACCCCTACCAGTTGAATCAAGTTCTTACTTAATGGATCCCTAATCACAACATGATCAGCTTATTTTCCCTAATAAATGAATGATCCATTGCAAATAGGCCATCCAATTTAATTCATGGTTTAAATTTGCTGATGTTTAAAAATACAGATTAATAATCTATATTATTAGAATTTCATAATGACTTAGAGTAGGAACAATGAAATTGAAAAATACAGAAAGAGTGATAATTGAGAAATTTGAATTTGAAATATAAAATTTGAAAATGATTTTCAAGAAAAAATTGAGTAAGACAAAAAAACAAAAAAACAAAAAAAAAAGAAAATAGGATGCAATTACCAATGAAGTCTCTTAAACTTGTTACGAAGGGTTCAATTCTGACCATATGCATGTAAAAGATCTTTTTAATAGTTTATTTTCATGATCTCTATATTTTGAAATGGATCCTTGATTATTAGCAAGAAGATACCCTTATATTACAAGACCTTTACTTTTTCCAAAAAACTAATTTAGTAGGGTGTATAGTACACCTGCTTATATGCTTAAGACCTTACCTAAATCCTTCTTAGGAGATAAAACAACTCTTCTGACCAATTCGAGATGCCCCTGTCATAGATGACTCACCAAACAGCCCACTAATTGGATAAACTTGAGTCTAGCTCTATTACCATTTTATCACAAGATTATTACCCTCTCATTAAAAAACTAGCTTAATAAGGTGTACAGCACACCGACTTATATTCCTAAGACCTTTTTCAAGTTTTTTTTGATGTAAGACATAATGCTTGACTCATATACTTGTGAAAGAAAACAGTGAGAATGATTTTTTTATGTACTTGTTTTTTATTAAAAAAAACATTGGCAATGATAATAATTAATTATACAAAATCTTACTAAACACTTCATTAAAAAAAAAAAAAGATAACCACTACTCACAAAAATCTCGTGCCCTGGATAACCTAACGAGTTGTGGCATTATTAATTCTGAGTGGCTTCTCATCATCATACATACATGCTATTCATGCATTATTGGTGACTTATAACAATTACCAAATGATTTTATCATTTATTTTTTTAACATGACTATCAATTAACCAAATTCAATAAATGTGTTTTTGGTAATATTTATAAAAGCTAAAGTCTACTTTCAGTCTCCTAACTTTATATAAGTTTTTAATTTGATTTTTTAATTTTATAAAGTATATTTTTAGTCATTTAACCATAATACTGTTAGTTTTAAATAATTATTTTTTTATATCAATTATTATTATTTTAAAAATAATTAAACTTAATAAATCAATATTTGAAAATGTTTTGTCAATATTTAAAAGTTTAATATAAAATTTTTTTGTAATAAAACTAATAGTATTAGAGTTAAAGAACTAAAAAAATATATTTTATAAAATTAAGTAATCAAAATAAAATATTATATAAAATTAAAAGATTAAAAATATATTTTAGTTTTTTATAAATCATCCAGTATATCTCGTGAAATATTGCAGTAGATTTCTCAACTGTTTTTAAAGGTATTCTTATCTATTTATTTCTCTAGAGTAGTCACAGTATAGTTTGTAAAGCCAGTGCTCAGTAAACTTGTACTCCCTCCTCTCAAAGAGCTAGATGTAGGTTTATTTTGATCCTATTTATAAGATCATTATTTTTTTAATTTTTATATATCTCCTTCATTTATAAGTCTTTTCCAAACTACCCCATGTTTGGTCAAAAAAAAAAACTACCCCATGTTGGAAAATTCTTCCTCTTGTCTTTTTTTTTTATTAAAGGGTTTAAATTATAAAATGTCTTTAAAAAAATATGAAACAATGTTCCATTTTTAATTACCTTTTAGCTTCAATGGTAATTTGTTATTTTCACTCTCAATATCTCACTATTGGCAGAGTCTACTCATTCACAATAGTTATCTCTATTAACAAGTGAAAATTTGTTACTTTCACTCTCAATACTTCACTGTCGATAGAGTTTACTCATTGTGCTTATAAAAAAAATTATTGTTGTAACAAGAAGATATAAATTTTTGAATCTAATGTATGGTATATTGTTTGAAAAATGCAAGTCAAACGGTGCCTCAATAAAATTATATCTAATATATAATTTTAAAATAATACCATAATAATCATATAATTTTAATTTAAAGAATCATCCACATTTAGCCGCACAGACCATATCTTAATATTGCCCTCATGATTATACCTCTCATTAAAACAAAATCTTAATTCTTAACATTCTCGTTTATTTCCTTCTTTAGTTGTCATATTCAGCAAAAAAATTATTGATGTTTTTTTTTTGTATTTAACTAGTTCATCAAATGATAAATGATAATTTAATATATTTATAATTATAATTTTTTGGCTACAGTGACATATTTATAACTGATTAACTGTTTGGTCTACCCCATGCAAACATTCAACATTTAATTATCTCCAATTGGGCCCAATGTTTTCAATAAATCCCTTGTCAGCCCAAAAGGCCTCAAATGTCGAAACTATTGGAGGCCCTAATTTATAGAACTTGATCATGATTCCAAACTAATGGGCTTAACATAAAACACTGGGCCTTGACAAATGATTCTCACAATTCAACATTTTCTAAGGTCTTACCTGTGCTTTTCTTAATTTGAACTTTTCACAATCCAGTTGGTATAAATTTGACTCAATAATCTATAAGATTATAATTCAAATCTCACATTTGATGCAAGTATTTCATTAGTAAATAATTTATAAATATCTTTATAAATACTTTTTAAATTTATAAATATGCCCTGTCTTTGGTAAATCCACGAGACTCAATTCATTTAAATTTTTTGTATAAAAAGAAATTTTAGCTTCCTGTCTAACTTGCTAATAATTGAGATTCCTCCAACTCTACTTCTCTATATCATAATAACAATTTCTTTTTTCCCTTATCCGACGACCTACAAATGCTAAGAGTGGCGGCAAGAACCTTTGGTTCAATTGGGCCCCAAGACATCCTTGTGATGCTCACATCATTGGTTTGACCTATGCCTGTAAATGTTTCGACATTTGCCAACTGAAAAAAGAAAAAACAAAAAACAAAAAAAAAAATGGCAACCTCGTTCAAGGGGAGAGTAAATTTATTATTCACAAAATTTTTAGTACTTTTTTTATTTTCTTTTTTAAAAACTGGAGCACAATATGCAATAGTAAACTTGAATTCATTTTTTTTCATGAATGATATTTCATTTTTAAAATATATCAGTGATTATTTGAGAAGTTTGAAACAAGTTTTCAATTCGAAGAATTTAGTAGAAAATGAAAAAAAAAAAGTTTAAGTATTAACACAAACAGATAAATAGGATGGCTTTGTAAGAAGCTTTCATTGTGTTGAGTTACACATTAACACAAAAGTTGGCTCAATATTTTTAACTATTTTTATATTGTCATCAAAATATATGTGAGACACCATTTATGTCTAAGCAATGTTTTAAAAATCATACCAGATGTTAAATTGGAAAAGCTAACAATTCTTGATCCTTTTGGTGTAACCAGTTAGATTAGCAATCAAACTAATGATATAATAATTAAATAAAAATAATATTAAATAAAAATATAAAATAAATATAAAAACAAATCTACAGTGTATGTGTATTTGTTTATTTGTTAATAAAATGACACAACATAATCATAGATTAATAATATTATAAATTATTGAAAAAATACAACTTTAAATCCCTGTATTTTGCTCTCATTTTGTTATAGGTCCCTGTATTTTTATGTTATAGGTCCCTACACTTTTATTTTTTAGTATTCTAGGTCTCTACAAGGTTTCTACACTTTATTCATTTGGAGATCTAGAACATCAAAAAATAAAAGCATAGGGACCTAGAACACTAAAAAAAAAAATATAGGGACCTATAACAAAAAGCAAGCAAATTGCGGGGACCCAAAGTTATTTTTTTTAAATTATAATTTTTTTTTAAAACCATTCCGGTTTCGGCTCAATATAATAGCTCAACTTTGGTTCAACCTAACTTAACCATGAAAAATTTTTTTAGTCCAAATGGAATCGTTAACAGCCCCA